TAGAAGTGCAAAGTCATATCAGAGTAGCCTACTAGCCATGATCTTTCATCACGACATAAGCATTTGTCAATGTTTTGAAGGGGGAATAGAAAGCATCTTCTGTGCATTGTTGAGTTAAAGTTGATTAAGATAGTTTCTTCAATCCTAAAGCATGACAGTGCCAAAGAATGTTCAAACTACCCAATATTTGTGCTCATTTTATGTGCTAATAAGGTTATGGTCAAAATCCTTCAAGCTAGGTTTCAATAGTATGTGAACTGAGAACTTCCAAATGAACAAGCTGGGTTTAGAAAAGGCAGAGGAACCAGAGATCAAATTGCCAACATTTGTTGGATCATAGAGAAAGAAAGGGAATTCCAGAAAAACAACCTCTAAAGCCTTTGACTGTGTGGATCACAACAAGCTGTGGAAAATTCTTAAAGAGATGGAAACACCAGACCTCCTTACCTGTCTCCTGAGAAATCTGTATACAGGTCAAGAGCCAACAGCTAGAACCTTACATGGAACAAAGAACTGGTTCAAAATTGGGAAAGGAGTACGACAAGGCTGTATATTGTCACCCTGCTTATTTAACGTATATGCAGACTACATCATGCGAAATGCCAGACTGGATGAATCACCAGCTGGAATCAAGATTGCCGGGAAAAATATCAACAACCTCAGATATGCAGAGGTTGATACCACTCTAATAACAGAAAGTGAAGAGAAACTAAAGAGCCTCTTGAAGAAGGTGAAAGAGAGTGAAAAAGCTGGCTTAAAACTCAGCATTCAAAAAACTAAGATCATGGCATCCAGTGCCATCACTTCATGGCAAATAAAAGGGGAAAAAGTGGAAGCAGTGACAGATTTATTTTTTTGGACTCCAAAATCACTGCAGACAGTGACTGCAGCCATGAAATTAAAAGACGTTTGCTCCTTACAAGGAAAGCTATGACCAACCTAGACAGCATATTGAAAAAAAAAGACATCACTTTACTGACAAAAGTCCATATAGTCAAAGCTATGGTTTTCCCAGTAGTCATATATGGATGTGAGAGTTGGACCATAAAGAAGGCTGAGCACCGAAGAATTAAGGCTTTCCAACTGTGGTACTGGAGAAGACTATTGAGAGTCCCTTGGACAGCAAGGAGATCAAACCTAAAGGAAATAAACCCTGAATATTCATTGGAAGGACTGATGCTGAAGCTGAAATTCCAATACTTAGGCCACCTGATGCAAAGAGCCAATTCATTGGAAAAGAACTTGATCCTGGAAAAGATGGAGGGCCGGAAGAGAAGGGGACAACAGAAGTATTTAAGATGGTTGGATGGCATCACTGACTCAATGGACATGAGTCTGAGCAAACTCCAGGAGATAGTGAAGGACAGGGAAGCCTGGTGTGCTACAGTCCAGGGGGTTGCAGAGTCGGACACGACTTAAAGACTGAACAACAACAAGAGACTTTCTACTGTCCCTGCTTACTTAAGAAAAATCTAAATATGTACAAACTAAAGAGTGAAGTTCCCTTTAATCTAATCCCCTCTCCAGAAATAGTGCTATTAACAGTTTGGTATGTATTCTTCCAGACTCTTCTATCTATCTATCTATCTATCTATTTACATTACTTACTGCTTGCTATGTGCCAAGCACTATACTAAGCCCTTGATGTGAATTATCTTGATTAATCCACACAACAATTCTGTAAAATAATACTATTATCTCCATTTTACAGATGAGTAAACCGAGGCTCGGGAAGGTTCAGTAATTTGCCCTAGGTCACATAGTGACTAATTTGTTCTTCCTCTTGGGAGGACTGTTGTGCTAATGCAGACGAATCAAGTTAAATGTTTGGATCTATTCATCTATTTACTCAGGAAGCATTTATTTAATGTCCTCTCTTTGCCAGTCACTCTATAGAATGCCAGCTACTCAGACACATGCCTTCTGTCTTCAGTTACCTGAATGAGGGAGATCAATCTGTGAGCTAAAAGATTTGCCCCAATTCAAAAACTTAGTCAATAGGTAGAGCAGGATTACAGTCCAGGCTTGTTTAACCACCTGTTCTTTGCCCTATGTGCAAAGAAGCTTTGGTAGACTTGTTTTTTGGAGAGAGACAACACCACTTGAATAATATCGTTTGCATGAGAAAATGAGTTTGGATCCCCAAGAAATCAGGGTCCAATGCTTAAGACCAAGTTTCTAGACTGGAGATTATAAATACACGTTCTGAAAAGTTTTAAATTATATTATATGTGTGTGTGTGTGTGTATGATTTTTCTTAAGGCAAATACTGCTCTGCTCTAATCCAAGGGAGATGAAAGTAAGGCAGCGTTCAAAATTGGAGTTTCTATTTCTTGAGTGGGAGGGCTGGTGATAAAGTATTTAGATCCTAAGGAGCTTGATTAGAATGTTGAAAAGTGTCAGCTTAAAGAAGAGCAAGCAATGGAAAAGAGAATCCGAAGTCCAGAAAAAATAGGAAAGTCGTAAACAGATATTATGAGAAAATAATAACATAAAGATTGAAGAATTGGTTGAAAACAAGTGAAGGCTGCATGTTAAGACAGAACCAAGACCTTGCCTATTGTGCAACACATTCCACTAGGCTGGCCAATTTCAATGTACACTATGGAGGGTTGAAGGGAAATGCCTCTCCCAGAGATGGGGCTGGAGAACTTGAGCCACGTGAGCCGCTGACCTCTGAGTGCACAAATGCCAAAGGCTTTTAGAGCCAGTTGGCAAGATATACAGGGGTGGACGAATCAGGGGCTTATTCTTATAAACATGGTATGGAATCTTACAGAAGGGAGCAAAAAGGCAGCCTGGATTGGAAACCTTACAGGAACGGCTATATATTCTTTGTGACTGCAGAAACATTTAAATATACAAACACATGGAATGTGGCAGCATTGATGCGGAGGATTAAGCACCCCAATGGAAAAAGAAAAAAGAAAAAAAAAATGAGACGGAAAAAGGAAAATCTTGAGTTTCTTAAATTGTTTGCAAAGAAACTGGAGTCTATGACGGAATTTAGTCCCCATGACTGAAATGTTTCTTTGGTGTTGGAAAAAGTCTTACTCTCTCTCTCTTTAGAATTTTTTTATTCATAATAAAAATCCTGTGGCAGCTCCTTGTCTGGAGGACTTTAAAAATAGGAGCGATTTCATCTGTCTGGAATGGTCTGTGTCAGCACTTGCCCTAGGCAAGGTTGCCACATAGGCAAAAACACCCCCTCCCGCCTCCCTCCCAGACACCCCTCCCCCACTGCCCCCCAATGCCTTTCAAGCCCCCAAACCACCTCTCCTCTGTGGGCTGGCCCCCGTTTCCCAGACCACAGCCCCAGTGAGACCTCCCACATAAAATCAAACCCCCTTGTCTTCAGCTCTCTCTCCAGGTGCTAAGGAGGCAGAAACTTTCACCCTTTGCGGCCTACTTGCATTTAAAACCAGGACCCTGGTTAACCCTCATGAATCTCAAGTTGGTGGAGATTTGGACAATGTAACCCAGCGGAGAGAGGTCCAAGCTAGAGGGGAGTGTTTTGAGTCCTGGGGGGAAGGGGGTGGGGGATGTTGCCTTCCTGGAAGCTATTAAATCCCAGATGTGAGTTCTGTTCAGTGTGAGACTGCCTTGAGGGAGAGTGTTGTGGGGGGGAGGGTGTCTGGACTCTCTGACCTCTCAAGGTTGGCATTAATTCTATGGGTCGGTGATTTCCAACTATATTCCTGAGCCCGGCTTCCTTTGCAGCACTAGAGGCGCCTCGTGACTTGGCTTTAACTAGGGGTTTTCAACAGCGTGTCTTTGTGCCTATCAGCCAGGGCCCAATTTTCCCATCACTGTCCTCCCCGCCACTGCAACCCTCAGCTTCAGCGATGGTGGCTGAAGATCAGCCCCAGCCCCACTCCGCTCAGATTTTCAGCTCTACACAGCTCCCGTTCTCAGAGAAGCCTGAGAAAGGGACTGTTGCGTGCTCACAGTGTGAGGTGACTTTATGAAGAAAGAAATAATACGTGTGGCCTTGCGTGAAACGAGTGTGCTAGATGCAGATTTGGTGGAGAAAACTGCAAAATGAAATCTCCCGGCGGAGCTTAGAGGAGGAAGTTGGTCAATTTCATGTTGGAATAACCCACATTCAAGAGCCCCTAGTATGTGCCAGGCTCTGAGTTAGATCCAGTGAGTAACAAGAAAATTAAAGCAAGGCCCCTGGTATGAAGGAATTCAGTCTAACAAGGAAGATAGACATCCCATGTGAGAAATGTCATGTTTGCGGTAAGCAAGAGTGTCTAGGAGCATGGAGGGTGCCCTTAGCTCCACCTGCTCCTGTAGGGATCAGAGAATGCTCTCCTGGGAAGATGCCATCTGAGCTGAGTAGGAGGAAGCCAAAGCCAAGACAGGTGGGAAGGGCATTCTGTGTAGAAGGAATGACAGGAGCAGGGGCATGGAGGCATGAAACTACTTGACATGTGTGGGGAGCCAGGAGCAGGCTGCGATTAGTAGAAAGTGGCGGGCAGGAAGAAGGGCAAGAGATGAAGTTGGAGGGGCAGGCGGGGCCACCAGAGGGAGAGGAGGGCCCAGCCGCCCTGCTTGGGAGTACAGACTTTATCCTGAAGGGAGTCACTGAAGGATTTTAAACAGGTCAGAGTTGCATCTTGATTAAACTATCTGTCAATTTGGGGAAAATCCTTCAAATTACCTGTGGAATGAACTGATGAAAGAATTCCATTGAAAGGGTAGATTTGTAGATCCAGCCCAAGTAATTAAGGGTGAGGCTGTCTTTTCCAAGAGGGTTTCTCATTCATCTGAGGCTTTTTAAAAGGTACCTCTAAAACGATCTACAGATAGATGCCTGTATATGGATGTAAAATTCAACCTCATTTGGGAGGGTACCAGAAAACTGTGCTTAAAGGAAACTGAATGAAGTCTAGGTGCTTCTCCCCTTCCCCAACCCAACCTGCCCCACCCCCAAACTGCAGTAACAGTATCAGCCCTAGAATGGAAAACTGCTATGATCTCTTTGTTTTGTTTAGCAAAAGTCATCCGGGAAGGCGCTGTTTAACTTGAGCTGCAGCCATCTAAATCTTGCTGAAAAGGAGTATTTTGGATTAGAATTCTGTAGCCATTCTGGAAATAATGTAAGTTGCTTTCATTATAGGGTTCTTTGTGTCTAGAATTGCTTCTAAATGCAGCTTGCAGCTAGGTATGTAGGGCTCAAACCCCTGATTGCAAAATGAAAAACCATGTAAACCCTTGAAAAATGACAGGATTTAATCACTATTTCTCCTTCTTGGCTATTAAAAGTCACTTCAGTTTGCCAAACACAAACTCTTCCACCCGCTGCTCCTCTTTTGTGTCTTCACTGTGTGAAGAGCTGTCTGTGCTTGATTCCGATTTTCCAGAGGCTGGAACTCAGCCTCCAGAATAAAGACTCCTAACCTCACCAAGGAGTGTTCAGGGCACTCTCCCTGGCCCTCACTCATGTCCTACCACTCCCAATGTTCTCCCTGATGTGTCCTGCCTTGGCGGATCTCGTATCTGGCCCCTTCCCAGAAAGGCTCATTATGACTACTAAACTGGCATTTGGAGGCTGTGGGATTCAAGTATGGAGCCAAACGCCTTCATTAGTCTTTGCAGCCACTAATAAGCCTGGCATATGACACCTCCCTCACCCCTCTGTGGCAGGGGAGCAGTGATTCAAATGTCACCAGCCAAGAGTTTATAGATCAACAATCTGCACCGTCATTGGGAAAATACAAGGGCGCAGACTGAGGTTGGGGCAGGCACGGCATCTCTTTGACATTGCTGTCCCTTACTATCTTTAGAAGTCTCAAGAGTCTTGATATTTGTTTGCTTCATGTTGACTTTAATATGTTATAAAAAAAAAAGATGCACTCAATGCCCTGTTCTACCAATTCTTTCATTAATGTTATTACAGGTCTGGTTGGAACTGCTGAAGCCCATTACAAAGCAGGTAAAAAGTAAGTATGGAAAATCACTTAAGGAATAGAATTCCTAGTTATAACTTGAAAATATTTCAACAATACCACACTATTCCACACCTTAATATAAGCCGAGAAAAGGGCTTTGATGTATTATTTTAATCCTTCCTCACCCAGTAAATTTACCAATTTTGAAAAATCATTTTAAATTTGCCTGAGATGAAGAAAATCAGGCTGCTAGGTTTTTGAGTAAATTTAGAGAATTCTGTGGATTGGCCCTAGGAATAATACACCTGTGACTCTAGCCCTGTAAATCTTTGAGCATCCTTGATGTCAATCAGCCATGCCATTCACGGTGTTCCAGAAGGTGTTTCAGTTTCATTCTGTCACAGACATTGTCCATTCATTTCAGTTCACATTTGAGTGCCTACTATGTATGAAATAATCCCCCTACCCCATATGTTACAATCTAGTGTGGTGGCTCTCCAATTTCACTGTGTATTAGGGTCACTGTGAGGTGGGCAGGCAGGGTCTTGTTAAAATGTAGATTCCTGGGCCTCACCCCCACGTTGGGGGCCAGAAATCTGCATTTTTAACAACCTCCATAGGTGTTTCTTCTTGCAGGTTGATTTCAGTCCACACTTTGAGGAAAGCTGTCTTCGTGCATCTTCCTCTGCCTGCTCTCTGCATGTTGGTGCTTCCCACTGTATGATGTGGGGCTTCCCAGGTGGTGCTAGTAGTAACGAACACACCTGCCAATGCAGGGGATGTAAGAGACGTGGGTTCGATCCCTGAGTCAGGAAGACCCCCTGGAGAAGGGAGTGGCAACCCACTCCATTATTTTTGCTTTGAGAAATCCATGAAGAGAGGAGCATGGTGGGCTATATAGTCCATGGGGTCGCAAAGAAGCAGACATGACTGAAGTGACTTAGCACGCACTATACGATGATAATCTGTCACATGATTCCAACAGCTTCCCAACTGACCCCCCCCCCCCACACCTCACCCCCACAATCCATCTTGTGCACTACTCCCAAAGGAACTATTGCAAATAGAAACCTTACCACATCACTCTCCTGCTTAAAATGTTTCCACGACTCCCTGTGGCCCTTAGAATAAAGTCCAAACCCTTTTGCACGATCCACAAAGCACTGAATTCTGACTGGCTTTTTAGCCTTTACCTCTGCCTCAGACCACTTTGTACTCCTCTCTCTCCTGACTTTAACAAAACTAGCCTCAGGTGTAGGCTTCTCGGATAAAATAGAAAATGCCCAACTAAATTAGAATTTCAGAACAATGAAGACTAATTTTCTTAGTGTAAGTACATCCCATGCAATCATTTTTATCTGAAATCCAAATTTAACTGAGAATCCTGTCTTTTTATCTGCTAAATCTGGTGGCCCTACTGAGGTGTCAGCTCCTCCAGGAAGCCTTCCTTGACTTCTTCCAAACTCTTTTCTCCCTCTTGGGCTTATAACACTTTGTGGTGCTGTATTTGTCAGTCTAGAAGTCTGCCTCTTCTACCAGCCTTTGAATGCTTAATTGTATTTTTATTTCCAGGACCTGCTAGTACAATGCTTAGCATACAACAGACACTCAACAAATATTTACTGAATGAATGGTGTTAGTGCTGCATGTGTACACTTGCTTTTGATGCAAAAAGTTTCTTATTTTTAAATGTAAGTAGGAGTGAAGGCAAGTAGATACAGATTTTTTAAGCAATTAGTTTTGCAGTAAGTCCTTGTTGCTTATCTGTTTTACATATAGCAGTGTGTACATGTCAATCCCAATCTCCCAAGATGTTTTCTTAATGTAGAATTGATGACACACAGAGGTCTCAGTCCCTACTACTAGGTCCCTTTATGAATCTTTGAGCCAGCTGAAATTCACCTGCCTCTATAGTAGGGCCCTTCTCTCAGCCAGGAATGCAGAATCCCAAGTAGCAAGTGGTATATTTTTCTAAATGCAACACTTCTTAAGAGAGGTCACAGTAGGCCCCAAATGGGGCACATCTTTACAAAAAGAAAGAGAGAGAGAGAGAGAGAGAGAGAGAGAGAGAGAGAGAGAGAGTAGGAAGAGGGTCACGAGGACTTTCCCGATTGCTGTCCACAGAGAGGCACTGTCCAGAATAGCAGCATCTCACAAATGTGAAAAATTGAAATTTCAGTGAAAAGTCCATGGGAAGGAGTGATGAGGAGAGGAGGGGAGGGGAGAGGGGAGTGTGTGCGTGTGCGTGTGCATATGTGTGTGTGTTTCTGAAGACCCGTAACTGTTGAAATAAAACTTATGGAGATATTGTGTTTTAAGATCCTAAGGAAGTTGTTTTCAAATTTATGGTGAAATTTTTCCCAGTGGACCCTGGACATCTGCGAGAAGAGCTGACAAGGTATAGTACTTGTATGATGTTATTTAATCATTATCCTTTTATCAGGGAACAGGCTTCTAGCCTTCTTTGGATGGCTTGGATCATAGTCTCTTTCTGGGAGATGGTGAGGAGTTGGTGAGCAGGAAGGCCTGGCTGGTCCCCAAAGTGTTAATCTTTCAAAGGATAGGGACTTGGGGGAGAAGGAGGGGTGGTGTTCTAAAAGCGGTAACCAGCCTGGGTGCCCACTTGAGGGATATGCCATTAACTGCTAAACAGTAAGAGCATTTGCCTTCATTGTTGTCTGTGTTCCAATCAGGGGGCAGCTTGGCAGCACAAGTATGATGCCAGCTAAGTTCCCTGCATATTGAAAATGGCTGTGTGTGCGTGTGTGTGTATCCCATAGGTAGGAAGTGATAATGACTCATAAAACCTTTCTAAAGTAGAAAAGTCAAAAATATAAAAATAAATTGTAATAAATTATTTATTTTGCACAATTATAAATGACATTTAAGTACAATATTAATATTGTATAATATTAGGTACAATATTAATAATTGTGATTATTAATTTTATATAAGTAAAATATTTGTATACTTATAAAAATTTAAAAGATATAAAGTATGAAATGTTAAAGATTTTTTATATTTGTAAAAATGCCCTTTAAAATGACAATGTAAACTTACTTCTTCGTGTCAACATAGAAAAAAAATGAAAGTGTCACTTGCTAGGTTGTGTCCAGCTTTTTGCTACTGCATGGACTGTGGCCCTCCAGGCTACTCTGTCCGTGGAATTCTCCAGGAAAAAATACTGGAATGGGTCGCCATGTCCTTCTTCAAAAGACCTTCCTGACCCAGGGATTGAACCTGGGTCTCCTGCATTGTGGGTAGATTCTTTACCATCTGAGCCACCAGGGAAACACTCTCCTAAACCTTACTCTGCTTTCTAGACTTTAGACTCTAGACTTTTACATATAAAAGGGATATAAGGAAACAGGTCCTGGGAACTAGAGTGACTTGACCAAGGTCATGGGATGTTAGAGGGTATTTCACCTGAAATATTCCCCAACATGATTCATGGCCAGTTTTTCTTTACAGTTTTTCTTGTAAGGGGCCTTCTTTTCTGAGAGGTCTTTGTAGAAGTCAGTCTTTTCACATAGCAGTCTCTCTCTCCAAATCCTCTCGAAATCTGTGAGTTTTAGGCCCCTTTGCCAGATAACTTGGTATCTCTATCAATTTGCCTTTGCTTACTCATTTCAGTCGAGTCTCAAATTGTAACCAATTCTGATGGAGATAAACTTTTTCTCGGAAAAAAATAAAGAATGAGAGAATCAATGTGATGATAAATGATTCATCAGCTGTTCGGAGAAACGATTTGGTATTTGCAGCAGGCAGCAGCCTCCTAAACAGCAAGGAATGTGTCAAATGAGAAGTTTACTTTCTTTCTTGTTAGGAGTAAAATGAAATTCACCTCCCCTTTAGCAATTGAGGCTGATTATTCTCATTTACATCTATATTTGGAAGCAGGCAATGGCAAAGTTTAGACTTCCTTTATTTTTTCCCCATTGGTCCATTTGAGAATACTTAACTGTAGTTGACTTTACAAGGAAGCGTCGTTTGAGGCCAATACCTGAGCTTCGCAGAGTGGCATTCAAATATAACTTTCTAATTAAATCATTTCTAATCCATTAGGGGAGCATCACTTTTCACTTTCATAATGAACCCTTTTGTAAAGTGAATAATCATCTACTAATTTATCTGTTTTCTCCCAGTCTGTATTTTCATCTATCACCTGCAGTTAATTTTGATTCACCACATTGCCTTCAAGTCTTAACTGGTTTTAAAAAATCTAGATAGAATGTTATTTAGAAAATTATCAATTACATCTTATATAGGGAAATGCTTATAGTAGATACTCAATAAATGTTTTAATGTCTAAAATAAAATATTGGAAACAGTTTTGGACCAAGAAGGGACACAGTCAGCAGTAGAATCTTAATTATACACATCTTTTTGAAATTTGATTGCCTTTGATAAGGGCTTAAAAGTATGGAACAAATGCTCTCTGTTCGGCAAAGCTCTGGATGCCAACATGCACTTTATGGTCCCTGATTATCGGTGGGGGGCTTCCCAGGTGGCACTAGTGGTAAAGAGTGCCAGTGCGTGAGATGCAAGAGACACAGGTTCAATCCCCGGGTCAGGAAGATCCCCTGGAGGAGGGCACGGTAACCCACTCCAGTATTCTTGCCGGGAAATCCCATGGACAGAGGAGCTTGGTGGGCTACAGTCCATGGGGTCGCAAAGACTCAAACACAGCTGAAGAGACTTAGCACGAATGATTACAGCTGGGGAAAAGGGCAGCCTGGCTTCATTCCATTCGGGACACGGTAATTTCATACCTGTTCTGTGCAAAGCGCTGGGCTGGGCCCAGGTGATACAGAGATGGGGGTCCACGTGAAGGGGCAGAAGCGTGTCCTCAAGTTCTTGATTTCTGAAATACTGTCTTTTGGGTAGAAGCCAGCCTAAACTGGATGGCAGACCTGAGATCTGGCCACAGTTTCACTCTGTCGGGGTGATAGGACTTTGCCAAGATCACCTAACCTCTGTCTTTCCATAATTGGAACATGGGGGGATGGTGCCAACTTTCTAAGTTGTTACCATAGTGAGGACTTGAGAGCATTTCGTGAACAGAGCAGCCCTGGCCTCCTGCACAGGCTTATTCTTGCTGAATCTCCCTTTCTCTCTGGCGGGGTATGTGGCTTTGCTACGTGGCAGAAACCACCAGAGGATGGTTGGCCAACTCCCTTGAGTTGGCGGGAGGATTTGGCCAGGGTGATTCCTAACGGCTGTGGGGCCTGCCAAAGCGCTGGCTCAGCCGAATCGTGGTCTAACTGCTGGTTAGGGGCTGAAGCGAAGCCTATGCATTACTCACCACCCCCAACAGGCATCTCCCTGACTGGGGGCACTGTGTCTTTCTTGAAACATCTTGGGTCTGGGCGAAGGGAAATGCTTCTGTCTTGCTTCTGTCCTGGTTTCTTTCTCAAGAGATTCCCCCCCCCCCCCCCCACCACTTCTTTGCAGGTACCTTTTTACTCTTCAAATAAAGAAGGATTTGGCTCTGGGAAGACTGCCATGCAGTGACAATTGTACGGCGTTGATGGTATCCCACATCTTACAATGTAAGTAGCCACTGTCGGCTTTGGGGCCTAGCAATTAGCTAGAGAACCGAGCAAAGGAGCTGAGCACCCTCAACGTCCCCACCATCGTGCTGGGACCTTCCTGTGGAGGAGAGAGAGCAGGGATGAGATAGATGGAAATGACATGGTCTAGTAGAAAGGGGCTGGTCACTGTAATCATTGAGATTTGGATGCAAATCTTATCTCTGCATTCGAACTGTTGTAGCCTGGGGTGAAGTGCCCTCGTCTGTCTCTGCCTGAGTTCTCGTCTTTAAAATAGTGACAAGAATGCCTTCTCACAGAGTGCTTATGTAGATTAAAAGTAAATGCTGATTTCCTTCTATCTGCGTTTAACCTTGCCCTCCCACTGCCCCCAGCGTGCTCACCAGGAGCTAGGCTGGACTAATCCAGGCACGGACTTTGCTAGGCAGGCCCCTACTCCTTCTGCTTGCCCCAGGAGCCATTTGTGGTACGTGCTCTCTGCGGCACATTGTCACGTTTAATGTGATTTCCGAGTTGCTCTTTATCATGATTCCAGAGAACAAAGCACAGACTCCAGCAGGTGGAGAGAGGCTAAAAGGGAAAAAGGCCCCAGGCGTCTATTAGAGGTCCCCAGATCCTAGCAGCCAAGCCCGGTGGATGAGGCTGAGAAAGGAAGGCAGGGAACAGTGGGGCCTTGCCTGGGAGGGGATGAAGCTGGGCAGGTCAGCCTGCTCCTCATCCCCAAGGGTAGGGTTGAGGCAGCTGGAAATAATCATTATGATTGTTTTAATTTCATGTGTATAATCTATAATATTTGTTCAGAGGAGAATAGGCTGTTCCTTACTATTCCTGCAGGATCATAACTTCATTGTTTTTGTTTCATTTTTTGACCTCTATCCATTGCCTCCCTGACAGTCCAGAAATGGTCGATTTCTGATTTCAGTGGGAACTCCAGGATGAAGGGCTTGGATAAAGACAGTATCTGAGTCATTGTTTACCAAGTGACTTGTAGCTGAGATGGAGTGACAGCCCAGGCTCTCAGGAAGGCAGTGAGCAGTGACAGCAATAGTTATCAGAGAAGGCGTATGGAGGAGGTGGCTTTTGTACTGCGCTTTAAAGGGATGCATAGGAATTGGATATGTAATGATAAGCAGAGAAAAAAGCAAAAAAAAAAGGGGGGGGGGTGATGGTACAAGAAGGAAGTACATACAGAGGATGCAGCTTAAGTACAGCTCGATCATAGAGTCTGTTTAGGGGAGGTGGCCAAAAACTAAGCATCATTTTGAAGGGCCTTGAATGCCAAGGACACTAACTACATGTCCAGTATTGTGCTTGGGGCGGGGTCAGGAAATGGGGTATGGCAAATGGAGAAAACAGTATTGGAAGGCTTATCCTTCTCCACTTTATCTGCCTGCTAAATCAGCAGTCAGAGGATTGGGGCTCCCCAGACAGCCTTTGATGGAGCCCAATTTCATTCTTAATGGTTCAGCATTATGGATTTGAGCATTCCCTAGTGGCCATTTCAGGCATAGCACAGAACACTTCAGCTTTTCTAGAGGGTATTTTGTTTGCCAATAGAAGCTCTTTCCACAGAAAAAAGCTGAAGTTTCAAGGAGTCAGCTCTTCACAATCCATGCAGGTCAGATTATTTCACTGGATGCTAGATGGTGTGCTGAACCCAACCAGGCTGCTGATTCATTTGCTCATTTATTGATTCATTTAATATGTATGTTCCAGGCATTCAAGGGCCTCCACATTCTGACCTTGTAGTCGGCTTAAATCTCTCTTACACACCCCTCTGGCTCTAGCCAGACTTCCTCCCAAACACAATTTGCACATTCCAAACAAGCCTTCTATTTATGAATACCCTTAGTAACTCTTCCTTGTCATTCATTCAGCAAAAATTTACTGAGTACCTACCACATGCCAGGTACTGGGAACATAGCGGTGAAATAAACAACAAAAATCCTTGCTCTCATGTAGCTTACATTTTGGCAGTGGAAGACAATCAGACCAAAATAAGGAAATATATAATGTATTAATATGTTTGTAGGTGATAAGTGCACTGGAGGCCATGAAGTATGGAAGGGAGAGAAGGAAATTCAGGGGGCAGGTACTGAATTTTTTTAAAAGGTGGTCAGGGTAGGCGTCACTGTGAAGGTAACAGCTGAACAAAGACTTGGAGGAAGTAAAAGACCAAGCCATGCAAAAAAAAAAAAAAAGACCAAGCCATGCAGAAATTGGGTGGAAGATAGTTTCAGTCGGGGAACATCCAGTGCAAAGGGCCTGAGATGGGAACATGCTGAGAATATACAAGAAATATTAGGTAGACTTTATGGCTGGCCGGAACTGAGGAAAACAGGAAGACAGTAATCATGAAGAGTCTTAAAAATGTGTGAAAATCGACTTCCCTGGCAGTCCAGTGGCTAAGACACTGTGCTCCCACTGCAGGGGGCCCCGGTTTGATCCCTGGTCGAGAAACTAGATCCCACATGCTGCAACTAAAGATCCCGCATGCTGCAACTGAGACCCAGTGTAGGCAAATAAATATATAAAAATAAAATATTTTAAAAAGCATATTCAAGACATAGGATATTACTCTAAATGGGATGGGAAGCCATTATAGCATTTGAAGCAGAGGAGTGAAATGACCTGAATTAGGTTTTAACTACATCATGCTGGCTGCAGTGGTGAAAACAGAAACTTGTAGCAAGTCATAAATAAGCCATAGTGATCTAATGTAAAGTATAATGAATATAGACTGTAATATTGTATTATAATTATGTAATGTGATGAATATCACTACAACAGCAATCATATTGCCACTTATAAGTGTATCAAAGTAACACAATGTTATAGTCAAATTGATTCAATTGAAAAAAGAGAGGAAATAGACCTTATGAGGGATGGTGGAAGTGGCGAGACCAGATAACAGGCGATGGCAGGAGAGAGACAGGGTGGTAGTTTGGACCAGCATGCTCATAGTGAAGGTGCTGATGCTCTTGTGCTGCCTTCTATCATTAATGATATTTACCTATTTGTACATCATAGGTCTCTTCCTAGATTATCAAGAGAAAAAAAAGCATGGTCTTATATGTTCCTATGTTTTCCTTAGAGTCAGCATAGGGCTTGGGCTTAATATACAGAAAGATTGGTGTGTGATGTGTGTATGTGTCTAATTTATTTTTTTTAAACAGCTCAATTGTGGTATAATTTGCATACTATAAAATTCACTCATTTTTAAGCCTGTAACTCAATGGTATTTTGTAAATTTACAGAGTTGTGCAACCTTTACCACAACCCAGTTTTCAAACATTTCCATCATGCCAAAAGAGATCTCTCATGACCATTTGCCCATGCTCAGCCCAGCAACCACTAATTTATTTTCTGTTTCTATGGATTTGCCTTTTCTGGACATTTCATGGAATCACAATGACAAAATATGTGGTCTTTGGCATTGGGCTTTTCTTACCAAGCATAATGTTTTTGAAATTCATGCATGTTCTTCTAACATGAATCACAGCAGTCTGTTCCTTTCTACTGCTGAGTAGTAGTCCATTTTATGGGTGTACCACATTTTGTTTATTTACCCGATCAGGGATGTCTGGACTGTTTCCAGTTTAGCTATTATGAATAATACTATGAATATTCATGTACAAGTCTTTGTGTGGACATGTGTGTTCATTTCTCTTGGGCAGATTCCTAAGCATGTAATTGTCTCGTCTTAAGGTAAATTTAGGGCTTCCCAGGTGGCGCTGCTGCTGCTGCTGCTGCTAAGTCGCTTCAAGCGTGTCTGACTTTGTGTGATCCCATAGACGGCAGCCCACCAGGCTCCGCCGTCCCTGGGATTCTCCAGGCAAGAATACTGGAGTGGGTTGCCATTTCNCCACCAGGCTCCGCCGTCCCTGGGATTCTCCAGGCAAGAATACTGGAGTGGGTTGCCATTTCCTTCTCCAGTGCATGAAAGTGAAAAGTGAAAGTGAAGTCGCTCAGTCGTGTCCATCTCCTAGCGACCCCACGGACTGCAGCCCACCAGGCTCCTCCATCCATGGGATTTTCCAGGTAAGAGAACTGGAGTGGGGTGCCGTTGCCTTCTCCGCCAGGTGGCGCTAGTGGTAAAGACTCCACCTGTCAATGCAGGAGACATAAGAGACGTGGGTTTGATCCTTGGATAGGGAATCTCCTCCGGAGGAAGGCATGGCAACCCACTCCAGTACTCTTGCCTGAGAATGCCATGCATGGTCAGAGGAGCCTGGTGCGCTACAGTCCCTGGAGTCGCAAACAGGCAGACCTGACTTAGGATCTGAGCATGCGTGCACAATGACTGTGAATATTGAGTGCCTTCTCATCTGTTTTGTTAACCATGCCTAATGTTTTCTTTGGTAAAATACCTATTCAAATCTTTTGCCAATTTTAAAATATGTTGTCTTATTGGACTTTAAGAGATTTTTATATATTCTTATAAAAATCCTTTATGAGCTATGTAATTTGTGAAAATTTCTTCCAATCTGTGGTTTGACTCTTCATTTTCTTTGTGTATGTGTGTGTGCGTTCTCTCTCTCTCTTTTAAAATAATGAATATGTTTTTATTTCTCTTACAATTTAAAAAATGTGAACATTTTGTGATTCAGTCACAGCCTTTACTTCCAGGTGACTTCTTCATTGGATTTCAATGCCTTTTTATATAACAGACTCCTGTTCTGGAAGGCAGGTTAGCTTTTCATCATTATTTTTGTCTAGATAACATCCAAAGGCAAATTCCATAGGGACAAGTATATGTACCCAGTGGTCATACACAACGTGAAGTAAATTCATTATCAATGTTGCAGCCTTGGAGCCAACAAAAACCCCATGACCAAGGGCAGCAGTGAGCCCAGCCACTGGCGCCAGCTTGTTCTCTTCTTTAAAATTGAAGTAGAGTTGATTTATAATGCTGTGTTACTTTCAGGTGCATAGCAAAGTGATTCAGATATACATTGTGGTTGTTGAGTTGCTAAGTCGTATCCAACTCTTTGTGACCCCATGGACTGCAGCATGCCAGGCCCCCCTGTCCCTTACTATCTCCTAGAGTTTGCCCAAACTCATGTCCATTGAGTTGGTGATGCCATCCAACCATCTCACCCTCTGCTGCCTTCTCCTTTTGCCTTCAACCTTTCCCAGCATCAGGGTCTTTTCCAATGAGTCAGCTGTTCACATATATACAAGTATATGTACTATATCCATATATACACATATAGATATACACTCATAATATACTTTTTCAGATTCTTTTCTAAGTTACTACAAAATATTGTATGGCAGTATATTCCTGTTAATCTCATACTTCCAAGCTATCCATCCCTCCTCCCAACTCCTAATTTCCTTAATTCTGTCTTTTGGAGTGTGAGAGTTTTTAATTTTGATGGGCTTTCACTTTCTTTAGATGTTTTAGTCCATCATGTTTTTTGGTGTTTTGTCTAAGGACTTTTCGCCTAACCTAAAATCAAAAGAACTTTTCTCTCAGTTTTCTTCTAGAACTGTTTTAGGGTTTATCCCTTGGGTTTAGGCCTATGATCCAGTTTCAATTTTTTTGTATGTTTGCATGGCATATGATTGTGAGGCAGGAATTCAACTTCATTTTTTTTTTTTTTTGCGTGAGGATGTCCATTTCTCCCATTTGTTGAAAATACAATTATTTCCCCATTGAATTGTCTTGTCATCTTTGTCAAAAACCCAACTGACCATAAATGTAAGGGCTTATTTCTAGATTGTCAACTATATTCCATTGACATATGTGTGCTTATGCCATTACCACACTGTATCATTTACTGTAGCTTTGTATTCAGCTTTGAAACAGAGAAGTATATATTCTCCAGCTTTGTTCTTTTTCCAAATTGTTTCGGTTGTTTTGCATCCTGTGCATTTCCATGTTCATTTTAAGATCACTTGTCAGTTTCTACCCCCAAATTTGGTGGGACTTACACTGAATTTATAGATCAGTTTTGACAGAATTACCATCTGATAAATATTGAGTCTTCTAATCCTTGAATCTGAAATGTTTCTCCATTTATATAGACCTTTGAAAAATTTCAGCAATATTTTGTAATTTTCAGGCCACAAGTTTTACACATCTTTTGTTAAATTTATTGGTCTTTTCTTCTTTACGTGCTATTGTAAATGGAATTGTTTTTCTAGTTTTCTTTCTTCATTGTGCTTTGCCAGAACATGTAAATCCAAAAACTTTGTATATTGAGCTTCTATCTTGCTACCTTGCTGAACTCATCTATTACTTCTAGTAGCTTTTTGTTGATACCTTAGGATTTTTTATGCATAGGACCATGTTGATTACAAGGAAAGACAGTTTTATCTCTTCTTTTTCAGTGAAAATTCTTTATATTCTTCCTGTCTGATTGCACTGACGAATCACTGGTAGAATGTTGGACAGAAGTGGCAAGAGCAGATATTTTTGTCTTTTTCCTGGTTTTAGGGGGAAGCACTCAGTCTCTCACCATTTAGTATTAGCTGTAGGCGTTCCATAAATAACTTTGTCAGGTTGAAGATGTTTTGTTCAGTTTTCTGTTTGTTGAATGTTTTTATCATGAATTGATGTTGGATTTTGCCCAGTGCTTTTGCTGTATCTATTGAGATGATAATGAGTTTTTTGGTCCTTTATTCTGTTAACATAGCATATTACTTTAATTAACCTTCACACGTTGAACTAACCTCTCACTCTTAGAATAAATCCCACTTACTCATGATGTATAATTCTTTTTATATGTTGCTGGATTCAGTTGACTAGTATCTTGTTGAGGATTTTTTCCCTCTGAATTCATGAGAGATAGTAATCTGCAGTTTTCTTGTGATGTCTGTGTCTGGTGTTGGTATCAGAGTAATACTGGCTCATGAATGAGTTGGTAAGTGTTCCTCACTCTATTTTCTGGAAGAATCTGTGAAAAATTTGTATTTGTATCTTATTTGAATATGTGATAGAATTAACTAGTGAAACCATATGGGTGGACCTGATTAAATTTGAACGAGATTCGCACATTTTCCAATGTGGGCAAAACAGAAATAGGTAAAAGAGCCATCGATTTGGTCTTTTTAAAAAAGCTTGTTATATAGAGATTTTCATTCTAATGTGGTTTTTTTAAATATACAAGCGTGCCTCATCTGTCTAAAAATGAGTATGCCATCTGTCTAAAACACAATAGAAAACCAAGACAAAAGAAAAATAACTCTCTAGTACTCAAAATTGATGCCCCATGTCCATGAATTTTACTCAATAGGAGAGCACCACATTATCCCATGGAGAGTCTATTTACTCTTATAGTTCATAAAATCCTAATAGGTTTGTATATCTGGATTAACTTTTTTCTTTTTCATTTAAAATGTGAATTTTAATTGTAAAAACTGTTTTGGGTTCCCATTTTATGGTAGATTAGAAGTAATTATTTGGAACCAAGTAGAGACTTCTTCAGGGGAAGTCAATGACAAGAAAGTGATTCTTATGACTCTGACACAGAGTGAAAAGGCCTAAAAATTATAAAGAACATGTAAGAATTCAAAAACCAAAACAGAAGACTCCTCTGGAGGTCCTGTGGTTAAGACTCTGGGCTTCCAATGCAGGGGGCATGGGTTCAATCCCATATCAGGGAACTAAGATCCCACATGCTGCATGGTGTGGCCAATAAATAAATAAATAACAACGTCAAGCCATTTACTGTAGGGGCAGTAAATATCTACCTCAATTGTATTTGTAGGCACAGTGTTATAGTAGATGTTTATAACAATAAATTGGATACATTTAGAATAGAATGTTACGAGCAGGAATAAACTTCCAGTGATTTGGAAAAACAAGAATGATTTCCAGAATGATTCACCTACTGGGGATTCCATATGGCGGGGTTTTACTAAATTCCCAATGTACAGAGTGATGAATGGCTGTGACTGGCTTACATTGTAGTTGGCATTTATAGTCTCCTTAATAATGTCGGAGCAATGCAGAGTGAGGTTAGGGGGCTGTCTTAGTTTGCCAGGGTTACCATAACAAACAATAACAGACTAGGCGACTTAAATGACAGAAATTTATTTTCTCACAGTTCTGGAGGCTAGACATCAAAGATTGAAGAGTCAGCAGTTTTAGTTTCTTCTGAGGCCTCCCACCTTGGCTTGCAGATGGCTGCCTTCCTGATGCATCCTTACGCAGTCTTTCCTCTTGTACCTGCATTCTTGGTGTCTGGCTGTGTGTCCAAATTTACTCTTCTTAGAAGGACACCAGTCAAATTGGATTAGGGCCCACTCTACTGTCCCATTTTAACATAAGAATTCCTTTATAGGCCCTGTCTTTAAACACAGTCATATTCTGAGGTAATGGGAGTTTAGGAATTCAACATACGACTTTGAGAGGGAGGACACAATTCAACTCACAGAAGGGACTGATCAGGAATAGAAGAGATCATAAACAGAATGTGGGAGAAGAAAATAACATTCATCTATGATCCTGGAGCCTCTAAGACCTACACCGTGTCTGTGACTTCCTATGTTGAGACTTCATAAAAGCCCACTGCTTCTGATTTGAAGGAGAACCAGTTAGTTCTTCCCCCACTACTCATATCCTAAAACAAAACACACACACATCAAGTGTGTGTGGTGGGAGGTCTAGGGCTTCACTGGCTGCCAAGAAAGGGCTGTTTGGGGGAGGTCAGAGGGTCTGTTGGGTGCTCCATTTCTTAACTCATCAATGGTAATGTGAAAAATGTCACTTTTCTGTCATGCAGCAGAACTGGGAGACTTTCATGAAGAAACAGATAGGAAACATTTGGCACAAACCCGGTACTTACCAAACCAAGATGATTTAGAGAGCAAGATTGTGCACTTCCATCAGAAGCACATGTAAGTTCTTTCACTGGCACCTGTTTCCACCTGTTCCCCTGGCAGGAAAGACTGAAGCCAGGGACAGACTCTTAAAAGCAAGCTTTTAAGTCAGAGAAGCTTGGTTTAGTTCAGTTCAGTTGCTCAGTCGTGCCCAATTCTGCCACCCCAAGGACTGCAGCATGCCAGGCCTCCCTGTTCATCACCAACTTCCAGAGCTTGCTCAAACTCATGTCCTTTGAGTCAGTGATGCCATCCAACCATCTCATCCTCTGTCGTCCCCTTTTCCTCCTGCCTTCAATTTTTCCCAGCATCGGGGTCTTTTCCAACGAGTCAGTTCTTTGCATCAGGTGGCCAGAGTATTGGAGCTTCAGCTTCAGCATCAGTCCTTCCAATGAATATTGAGGACTGATCTCCTTTAGGATGGACTGGTTGGGTCTCCTTGCCGTCCAAGGGACTTTCAAGAGTCTTCTCTAACACCACAGGCTCAAGAAAACGTTGAGTTCCTCTTGGAACTCTCGGGGTGGAGGTGTCATTCTTGCTCATAAATTCTTTCCCCTTGCAGTGGCAGGAGCCCAGCTGAGTCTGACATTCTGCTACTGGACATAGCGAGGAAGCTGGACATGTATGGCATCAGGCCACACCCCGCCAGCGATGGTGAAGGGATGCAGATCCAGCTGGCTGTTACTCACATGGGTGTACTGGTGTTACGGGTAACAGCTCCTTTCCTTTCAAGTCCTCAGCTTTGGGGGTTATCTTGGCTCAGACTTGAGTGTCCATTCTCAAGGTGACCCCTCCCCTGAATTTTCCCACCAGCCAGAAAGGGAGGCAGTGCTTGGAAGAGTTTGAGGTAAGCTCCCTCCCCTTGATGCAATGTTTTTCTTTTGCAACCTAGAACTGACTGTTTTCTCAGAAGCTCACATGTTAGATCAAGCCAGCATGGTGGAGAGATGAAGTCAAGAGGCTCTTCAGAACTTTTAGACCCTAACCAAGAATACAGATTTTGGCATCCTAAAAGCCCAGCTTGTGACAAAAAGTGCATTCAGCCTGTCCAAATCTGCCAGAAACAGCCCAAAGAGTTTCCCACTCAGTTACTAGTTAAGTTGGAGGTGCCCGGTGCTAACAAGTAGGGCAATAGCACCCAACCCTGCAAGAAATCTTTACTGTTAACAGACTCATCCTTTCCCCAGGATTCTGTTTGCCAGGTTAGAAACCAACTCAGAGCTCTCTGGTCCTCCATCATCATTAATCCTCACGCCTAGGAATGGGGCCAGAGGCTATTTTCAACAGTTTTTCATTCTGTTTAGACTCCTATATCTGTGAGTATTCAATGAATTCAGATCCAAAGTTAAAGTTTAAGAACCTTCAGAATGATAGGCAGATGCCTGGACAGGTTTGGGAGTGAACCCCCTTGTGAGAAAGCAAGGGATGGCTTCGGACCCACTGTCCTCCAGGACCGAATTATAGCACTGAAATAAGTCACAGAGCAGGTCAGGTACAGACTTGGCTACGAAAATCTTCACTTTTTAATTTATTTGGTTGTAAACTTTACAGCCTGAGACTCACATTGATGGCCAGAAGACCCAATGGATCACAGGCATATCTGTTCACCCAGGAGGGAATTTTTACCCAGCCCATGCTAACGCTGATTCATTTTTTTAAAAGATAAGCAACAAGGATATATTATACAGCTCAGGGAAATATAACCACGATCCTGTAATAACTATTTCAGCTTTTTATTTAATGTTGAAGTGTAGTTGATCAACAGTGTTGTGTTAGTTTCAAGTATACAGCAAAGGGATTCAGTTTTACATATACATGGATCATTCTTGCTGATCCTGATTCTTGCTCTTTCCTGTTGCATGAGAGAAGTGGGTGAGGGGAGGGGAGCAAGATCATCATGTTGGTTATGATCTCTTTCAGTGTGACTACTTCTGTGGACAGTTGGGAACAATACAGATGGTCTATTTTGTCCTCCATGAAATCTAGTCAAAGAATAGTCATGTATTGAGTGCCTTCTATATGTATTATTGTATTATTTTCTTTAAAAACAGTTTCATTGAGCTGTAATTTGCATACCATGAAATTCATCTGTTTTAATGGTACAATTCAATGAGTTTGAGTATATTTATAGTTGGGAAGCAATCCATTCATCTTTCTATCACTATATTTATTGTACATTCACTCTGTGCCAGGCACTAGAGCTACAGAGGTAAATAGGAATGATCCTGACTTCATGGAACTTAAATTCCAGTAGGAGGAAGACAATTAAGCAACTAATTATAAAAAATGTGATATGCTTTGTGCTAGAAGAAACACAGGATGATATGGTAACACGTGCGAAAGGGACTTAACATTTAAGCAAGACTAAAGAGGTAGGGTGGCAGATGAAGGAGGGTGTTCCAGGGAAAGGGCACATGGGCAAAGGCCCTGAGGATAAAGCAAAGTCGCTCAGTCGTGTCCGACTCTTTGTGACCCCGTGGACTGTAGCCCACCAGGCTCCTCAATCCACGGAATTTTCCAGGCAAGAATATTGGAGTGGGTTGCCATTTCCTTCTCCAGGGGATCTTTCCAACCCAGGGATCGAACCCAGGTCTCCTGCATTGCAGCAGACGCTTTACCATCTGAGCCACCTGAACTGTGGTGAAAAGGATGAAGGATGACATAATTAAGAAGCTAACATTAAGCATGACACCTGGCTCCTGTCATTAAGATAGTCACAATTTATTTTGAAAGACCAGAGAAATAATGGTCAATATCAGACAATAAATAACCAAAAGCTAATCTATCATATTTACTTTAGTTGCACAAGTAATATACACAACAGAATAATGTGGTTACCTGTAGAGAAAGATCAGATGGGGACAGAGATAGGAGTGACACTGGTGGGAGTGAGACTTCTCAATATATATATTGTTGTACCTCCTTTGATTTTGGACCATGTGAATAAAAACCCAAAGAGTTAATCTGTTTGGATAGTCCAGGAGAGCTAAAGGAATTCAGAGGAGTTGGAAATGTGTGTGGGTTGTGACAGTGATATAGAATATCCTAGACGAGGTGCTACCAGAGCTGGCAAGGCGTGCCATGGGGAAGTCATTCTGGTAGGAGAGTGAGGAGACCCATGGGGGCAGTGGGAAAGGTACAGAGTTGGATGGAAAGGTGCTTTCTGGGAGTAATGGGATCAAAGTTATAGTCAGTATAAGGGCGAGAAGATCCAGCCAAAAGAGTTTCGAGTTGATGCAGGCCGTGAGTGAGGAGCTATTGAAGGTCTTAGAGTAAATGAGGTGGCAGGATAAACGGGATTTTTTTAAGCAGTTCAATCTGGACATACAGGAAGGAGTGATATTAGAGAAGCTATTCAGTTCAGTTCAGTCCACTCAGTCGTGTCTGACTCTTTGTGACCACATGGACTGAGGCACGCCAGGCTTCCCTGTCCATCACCAACTCCTGGAGCTTGCTCAAACTCATGTCCATCGAGTCGGTGATGCCATCCAGCTATTTCATCCTCTGTCGCCCCCTTCTCCTCCTGCCTTCAATCATTCCCAGCACCAGGGTCTTTTCCAATGAGAAGCTATTGAAATGCAGGTTTCCCCTGCTTTGAAGGTAGAGCGTTCCTATGAAAGCTTTCCTAGCTGACATGGTGTAAAGTGAAGAAGCATTAACCTGAGGACACACCTTCCTAATGGATGCACAAGATAAATCGAGATAAAGTACTGACTGGATGCTGAGTTGCCGAGTGGAGTGTAGTTCCTGGGGAAGGAGCATAGAGATGCCACTCTTACTTCTTGGAATGTGCACTACTTTATAACACCTTGATGCAAAACAAATGCTGATTTTTATTTTTGCCTTTTTTTTTTTTTTTGGTAAGAGCAAAATTCCTCTTTGGATTTCTTTCAGTCAGTGAAAACAGGTAATAATGTGGGTTTTTTGTGTAATAAAAGCAAACTTTTTAAAAGCAGGGAACCCCTCAGTTCAGTTCAGTCCCTCCATCATGTCTGACTTTTTGTGACCCCATGGACTGTAACACACCAGGCTTCCCTGTCCATCACCAACTCCCGGAGCTTACTCAAACTCATGTCTATCGAGTCAGTGATGCCATCCAACCATCTCATCCTCTGTCATCCCCTTCTCCTCCTGCCTTCAATTTTTCCCAGCATTGGGGTATTTTCCAATGAGTTAGCTCTTGGCATCAGGTGGCCAAAGTATTGAAGCTTCAGCTTCAGCATCAGTCATTCCAATGAATATTCAGGGTTGATTTCCTTTAGGATGGACCGGTTGGATCTCCTTGCAGTCCAAGGGACTCTCAAGAGACTTCTCCAACACCACAGTTCAAAAGCATCAATTCTTCAGCGCTCAGTTTCTTTATAGTCCAACTCTTACATCCATACATGACCACTGGAAAAACCATAGCTTTGACCAGACAGACCTTAGTTGCCAAAGTAGTTTTTTCTGTGAGCTCCCTATTCTGGTTAGAAACCTTTCCCTTTTTACTTGCATTTCAGAGCAGGTTTGTCCCCCACCTAGAATGCCTTCTCTGGCCATAGCTTCTACCTAATACAACTGGATCAATCTATACAAGAGATAGATCAAGGATAGCCCTGTTCATGTGATGCATTTTCCAACAGGTTCACATTGTCTTACAAACCAGCCTGTGCTGATATTCATCCTGAAATCTGCCATGTGTTTCTTTATAGGGAAATACAAAGATCAATACTTTCAACTGGGCTAAAATCCGAAAATTGAGTTTTAAGAGAAAGCATTTTCTCATCAAACTTCATGCCAACATCTTGGTAAGTAGCTTTTGAATAAATTCTTTTACTTTCTACTCACTTGAGATTTCTTGGTTGTTTCTGCAAATGGTTGGATTGTGAGTGGTGAAAGCTGGCTGGCCCCAACCGGTGATGTGCTTCCTCTTTTGCCTCTATATAAATAAACCAGAGCTTTGGTCAGATTTTCACTAAAGGCAAAACACTAAGAAATCCTATTGGCAGTGCAGAATGAGTAAAGCGATAGGAAAATGGGGTGGCTGGGATGAAAGACAAGTCTCTTTGACATCATTTTTCAGGGATTTGATAAGTCAAATGAGGGTGCCCAGATCTAAGACTGTGTCCATATTCATTCAAAGTTATTTGCTTGATTTTATATTTTCATCTTTCCTAAAGCAAAAAAAAAAAAAAAAAAAAAGAATACCTACTATGTGCCAAATAACTGAACACCTACTCTTTCCCAAAGCAGGATGTGGGGATTGGGTATATATTAAGCCAAAGAAGCAATTATTGGGCAAGGCTGCATTGTACAGGGTGAGACAAAGGGGCTAGAAAGAATTTTTGTGACTATAAAGGAAATGGAAGATATGTATTGGCTACTTTTTTGACCCAAAGATAAGTCATGCTCCGGATCTTAGCCTTGGATAAAAATATTCATGTGAGCAGTTCAGAAGACTGAATCTAGTGTGAAGCTTGTGGAGAATCCCAGGGCTGTATCCAGAGACCTGGAGAGGAATGGGAGAAGGGGAGGAGCAAAGTGTATTGGGGATATATAGTAAGTCAGGGGATGGGGCAAACTTGTACTTTAGGTCTGTAAGACCAAGCTCCTCTGCAACAGACTAGGAGATGCTAAATGAGCATCACAGAGCATCATAGAACAAGGCAGCATAAAGAGGGAGAAATGTTTCTAGCTGGTATGTTACAAAGACTCGTGTATATGCAGTCATCCTATAAAGCCTACCATTTGTAAGAAAAATCTCCTCCCTCCCCCTTTCCTGTTGGTCATTTATAACTTCTTGTCACCTTGAAAGGGTGCCCTTTGATGTTCATTTTAACCTAATTTACAACTTCATAAAATGTTCCTGGCAGAGAAGAGGGGGCAAAAGGGGGTGTGAGGTGAGGAGGGTGTGCAGAGTAAGGCTTGCTTCATAGAGAAGGCTCTGTTTTTGAGCAGTGGCCCTGTCTGTTCCTCGGAAGGTTGCCAATCATTTGATTTCAGTAGGTGTGAAGCCTAAAGGGAGCCAAGTGGAAAATCAGAAGCTGGATGTGGACCCTGGACCAACAGTTTGGCAGGCGTTGGGATTTGAAGGTCTTTGATATTCTTGAAGGATGTTTTGCTTGATGGAAATTGGTTTATACAGGTGCTGTGCAAAGATACTTTGGAGTTCACCATGGCCAGCCGAGATGCCTGCAAGGCTTTCTGGAAAACCTGTGTGGAGTACCACGCTTTCTTCAGACTTTCTGAAGAGCCCAAATCAAAGCCCAAAACCCTGCTCTGCAGCAAGGGTTCCAGTTTCCGCTACAGGTAATTAAATGTTGCACATAAGCAAACTAAACACACAACTTCTTTTCAGTAACAGGGAAGGCAGTAGGAACAGCTTGAATTCTAGAAGCAATAAAGAATCCATTTCAATCACATAAAGGATGATATCCTTAACTGGTCATTCTCTGGGTAACTCATTAAGTCAATATTTTCTAACAGAGAGGCAAGGGGAGGAGTGCACCCCACTTAAGGGGTTAGATTAGAATTTCTGCAAGGATAGAGGGGCATATACTGTGGAGAAAATGTAGTGATGAACTGACTGTTTTCCTTATGTGCAACTTACATGCTAGCCATGGGAGGGCTAGTTCAACAACATCCTTTTGGTTATGGTTAGGCAAAAGCTAGGGTGAGAAAGCCCTGTAGGGCCTAAGGGACTAGAGAAGTTGGACAATATAGTAGTAGAGGCTCCATACTACATGTTAACACCCTGGAGAAAAGGAAGTGAGATTGAAATAAGAACTTGTTTTTACTTGAACCCACCAGCCTAGGAATTCTTTGAAAGACACTTTCAAACTCTTAGCTAAGAATTCTAATTCAATGCTTCCCATAAAGGATTTTTCAAGTAGTAGAAGCCTGCCTCAGTAAAAAGTGGGATTTTTACAACGTATATATTTTTATGGAATCGTTCCAAAATGTATTCTACAAATCGCTGTCTTCTTAAACAGATGCTACGAAGCATGTTTCGCCCTTTTCTTAATGACCTGAGTTATTATCAACAGTGCTTATAATCCTCAGCCAGCAGCTGCGATACAGCAGCGACCTCAGGGCCGGGGTAGCATGTCAGAGCCTGCACCAGAGTGATAAATGGCCCTGACTTTGGGGGTTTTATTATGCTCATGATGTCTTTTTTGGTTCTTGTGTTTCTCCCAGCAGTCAGCTGGTTTTCTTTGTTAGTGTATGTCTGACTGGAGCAACTTTCTTCTACTGTTTAGTTAGGTGTTTTTCTCCTGTCATGGGTAGGGAAACCAGACACATAGCCTCAATAGCAACTACGTGTAAATTTGGAGGAAGGGGAAAGGCCTTTAAAGGAAAGTATATTAGTTTTCAAGGCCAGAGTTTGTACCTGTTAAATAGGCCTGTTCAGACGCTTTTAAAAATTTTCTGGCTTCTGAGTAGTTGAGGTTGCTCTGCCCGATTCTCGGATAAATGAGTATTAATCACATGCTGGTCTGGCGTGCTACAGTCCATGGGGTCGCAAAGAATCACACATGACTGAGCTGCTAAGCACAGCACAGTAACGAGGTCAGAGATTCATGACATATGTCACTCATCCAGACTCTTTTGGTTTCAACAATAAATGATGCTTTTGAGTTTTCGTAGCCTACTGGCTTATGAAGAGCATTCATAAACTAGTTTATCTCATTTTTCTCACAGTGGAAGAACCCAAAGGCAACTTTTGGAATATGGAAAAAAAGGGAGGTTGAAGAGCTTGCCATTTGAAAGGTAACCTGGTTTTGTTTCTCTCTGTGATGGTAATTTTTTCAGTTGAATTTAGAGTGTTAGAGGGGTCCTGTATTCATATGAAGACTATTTCAGTTCCTTCTCTGTTTGGGGATTTCAGGAAACATTACCCATCCCAGTACCATGAACGACAGTGCAGGTCCTCCCCAGACCTCCTCTCTGATGTGTCAAAACAAGTAAGGTTTTTGAAAATTTCTTCTTCTTTACGTAAGTGTAATGCATCTACATTTCAAATGCTTCCAAGAATTTACTGTGCCAGAATCTCCCAGTATGTAAAAAGGTTACTGTGATCAAATAGGCTAACTTCCTGGGGTCTGTGAGCTAAATATCTCCAGCCAATAGAAGACTGTTGGGTACACTGCTGTGTGTACTGTATGGACTGACAAGATCTGGTACAACTTCATATTGCAACCTGTATTGCTAACATCTTGCAAAATGCAGATCCAAATGAATTTCTATGGCTTTGTATTTTTGAAACTAAAAGCTTTGCCTTTTTACCTATGAAAATCTTAAGGCTTAGAGGAAGCTATGAGATCTTGGGTTAAGATTTTAAAGTACTTTCGCTATGTAATTTTGTTAATTTAAGAACAAAGTGCTATTCTCTTGGAACTGTGAAATGATGGCTTCATTTGAGTTTTATAGTATGAACTATGTTCATTTTTCTTTTGCTCTCCCTAAAAAAAAAAAAAATCTAATTAGAGGTCTCATAAACTCTGTCTTCATTCAAGTCAGAGGCAGTTTTTATCTGAAAGGCATCACAGAGTTATAATGCTGGAAGGTACCATCAAATGTTTAACCGTCTCCTGCCATTCACAGCCCTCCTCTCCACCGTTTTACAGAAGGGAGGGAGGAGGCTGGAACAGGGAGGTTAGGAGACTTACTTGAGGTCACAAAGCAAGTAAAGACAGAGCCAAGCCAAGACCAAAAGGCAGAACTCCTGGCTCGAGAATATAGCTACTCAGCCATACTGCTTGAAGTACAATGCTGGGGCTCAAGTAGATAGAGAATGTGGAGGCTGGGAGTGTGATGGTGCTGAGAAAGAGTAATGTTGCATCTATTTTGCAGCACATATATTGGGATGCGGTCCAAGTTAGAACCTTTTATGTATGTATTTATCAACCCTGGCAGAGAACATGGGTTGAAATGACTTTGTGAAAAACTACCTTTGCGAAGTCAAAGGCTGATTTAGATCCCTGTCCCCGCCCCAACCAAATGGCTCTTTCCTTCTTTCACCCGCCTGTCCTTTCTCTCAAGGTGGAAGATCTGAGACTAGGCTACGGCAGTGGGTACTGCAGAGCTGTGAATGGAGTGCACGCCTCTGAGCCTGTGCTGGATAGCAGGAGGAGAAACTCCGCAGTGGAGGTGACGTTTGCAGCTGAGCTGGAGCATTCCAAACCAGAGGCAGATCCCATATCATTACATCAGTCCCAAAGCAGTTCCTCTTTCCCTTTTATTTATACAGACCCAGTCTTTACCACTGACCCTGATCCTGACACTGATCCCAGAGACTACTTTGAGGAAAGGAGTCCTCTAAGCTCCTTCCAAACAAGCTCTAAGTTTGCTGACAATCCCATGAGCACATCTTCTGGCCTTACAAGCAAAGTGAGTCCAGCAAGGCAGCTTACTTACACAGATGTGCCCTATATTCCTTGTACTGGTCAGCAGGTTGATATTATGCCTCCCCAAGTCTTCTTTTATGTGGACAGACCACCCCAGGTACCCAGACGGTCTCCAATCATGGCAGAGGAAAGGGAAGGACGAGACAGCTGTCTACAGTCTACTGCAGTGAAGTCAGCCAAAAGAAGCCCAAGGAACATCAGAATGAAGAGCTTTCAGCAAGACTTTCAAGAACTCCAAGAAGCTATGGCCAGGACTACTGGTAGGAGCAATGTGAATGTAGACCCAGAAGAGCAAGATCCAACTATAGGAGATGCATTTGCATATAACATTCAAGAGCCAACCCCTAAACGTTCCCAGAGCCAGTCAGACATGAAAACGATCCGATTTCCTTTTGGGTCAGAATTTAGACCCTTAGGGCCTTGTCCTGCTCTCAGTCGTAAAGCTGACCTGTTTACATATATGTTTGCAGAGCAGGAGTTTCCAACAGTTTTAATGGATCAGGGAGCTACAGAAAGGTATGTGCCTAGTGAATCCAGTGACTCTGAGTCAGAGATTCTTAAACCAGACTACTACTCTTTATATGACAAAGGAATAAGGTCACCCATGGCCAGAATTCGCTTGTCTTCTGGTAGTCTACAGCTAGACGAAGAAGATGAAGATGTTTCTTTTGATACATCAACTACTGAAGATAGGACTTTGCAAAAACCATGTAATTACTTTTTAGCCTAAAATGTGAACCCTATGAACATGTCCAGACCAGTTCCATGTTACTCACTTAGGTGAAACATAAGGCACTTTCTGCAAAAAACATTTTCTTTGTTACTGTTCACTAGTATTAAGGGAATCTTCTAAGCTTGGGCACCTAGCTTATGAAAGATCCAGCTACTGCCTCGTTCCTCAAGCCTCTCTTCTATTCCCTCTGAATCATTCTGGAACATGCCCTTTTCTCACCAGCCCTGAGGCAGAGTGAGGTGGGTATTTGTCATCTCTATTATACATTTCCCCATAGAGACATTATAAATGAAGGTCAGGTTCCTCAACACCGAAGAACAATAAGAACAGTTAACAGTATGGACTGGCATACAAAATTGGCTTCTGATATAATTTAGTGATAACAGACTGTGGCTGTGTTGATCATTCTGTTCTTAAACAATACCGCAACTAAAGGTTTCAGTCCTCATTATTTGTGTGGGGCCCAGTAAGAATGGTTCTGTTTTATGTTAAAAGATGTCAATTTTTATAACATATACTAGGGGGAGCATGGCCCTCTTGTACTTCAGGAACAGAAGGAACATAGATCCTTTCAACAGAATACAAGTTTATAGTTTATCTAGGACTTGGCAGAATTCTAAACCTTGGAAATTCATGAACTGATCAGTTTCTAAAACCAGGCATCTGCTGATGAGGACAATATGATGTTTGACTTATTCTCTATTCTTAACTAGCTATAATATGTAGTGAAAGATAAAAGTTAACATGTTGGTCTGTTAATCTAATTTCTTCTGCAAGAATTTATTTTTTTCCCATATCTTGTTGCATGCATGTAGGCAAGGAAATGAGATGAATAGCATTTTAATAAAGAGTGATGGAAACCCATTTACTTAAAAAACAAGTTGTAAGTATGAACTTCCTTTGGTTTTAATCAATTTCAGAAGTGATTGGCTCTAGCCTATAATTAAGGGAAGGCACAGTTAGAGAACAAGGAAAAGGAGGGAAGCAGGTGAAAATGTATAGTCAGGGATGGAGAAGTGGCAGAAATGGGGTTTAAAAGAAAAAGGATAATACTCCACACTGAGTTAATGAACCAAAATTCTATTCTTGACCCATTTGGGATTTCTCTATTATTCCCCCTTGGAAGGTATAGCATTCTATTTGAGAACTTTATCTTCTTTTTTTTGTTTTAATGGTAAATGCAACATATTTACAAGATAATGTTAGGTAGTGACATCAAAGAAATGATGCAATTATATAAGCAAGTTATTTTTATATAGGACTGAATGGATAAAAGGTAGACGGAATAGTTTTCTTACTCTCCTAGTCCTTACACCAGAAAAATCCCTTTTAATAAACCTCACTCTACTGCTTTTCAACATTCCAGCACTTTCCTTCCTACTCCTAGAACCAAATTCAATAACTCACAAGTCTACAATAGCTATTTCATAATAAGAATATTTGAAGCCCAATCACTTATGTATTAATCATATAGATACTCAAAGCTACATTAAGTTCATCTCTGACCTTTTCTATAGGAAAAACCCAAACTCCTTTATGATCATATGCTGTTTCTCGTCTCAATTTCCAGAAATCTTTGCACAATTTGTTTCCCCCAGAGAAATACAGGGTTCAAATCTGTATAAGATTTCCTAATAAAACTATATTAGGGTGACCATAAAATTTACTGTCTAACCTAATAAGGACATTGTTGAGTAAAAGAGGATTCTATTAATAATTTTGTCAGGACAGGAGGCAGAAATCATGACAGATATTCAAGCAGGACAGAAATCAGATATTCAGATTATAGTCCATTGGAGCTATAATAAATGCATAATAAAATTGTAAAGAATATCTTCTAGTTTCCAATGGAAACTCTGATGTTAAAGTTCCAACAATAAATGAAAGGAGAAAGAAGAAATAATTTGAAACAATTAAAATACCATACCCCTCAAAAAAACAAACATTAAGGACCATGAAATTTAAATATTTATTTTTAAATCCCTCTAAAACACTGAAGTATGCTTACCCACAAACAGTTTACAGGACTAATAACTAAAATGAATAAGCAATACGATTTTCTATTCATAATGCAGCTGTGCTGAAAGTTTCAAATAATCAATTTAAAAATTTGTTGATTTTACTTTTATAAAAATATTCATTTAATACATGATATGAGTTGCAAAATTATTACCAGGCCTCTACAAATTATAAACTGTGATTGAGTTTCAGTTAGTTAGCAGGTGAAAATTTTCACTGAACTATTACTTCAAAATACAATGTGTTAAAAGTAATTATTACAGTATAGGCACCAATGAAAACATTTTCTTGGCATATGACACAACAACAACTTATTCAAGTGTCTGTATTATTACAAAAGAGGAGGAGGTAATGGCCACTTTGACTAAAAACTTATTCTTCACTTGAAGAACATCTTCTAATATTTGGCAATTATTGAGCTTTATTAAAATGACTTTTGTGCAAAACCCAAATTGTGCAGACTCAAACAATAAAACATAAACTATCAAAACTAATTAATAATTCTACAACTACTGAAATACAGCCCCACTTCAGAACTTAGGCAGGCATAATGTATATACTGGGCTTATAAGAAAAGGGTATTACCCACGTAACAGTACCATAAATATAACTGGAAATTAACTGTACAATCTAAATTACCTTTGTATGGACAGAAATCATCCGGTACTATGATTATTTTCATATGAATTAGAAAATGCTTATTTAAATACCCTATCAAAAATGAAAAAATGATGCTTATGTATTGGATAGTTATGAAGAACAAAAATGTATAAATAGTTTATAGGACATTTTAAGACCATGACAAAAATATGCTGGTGTAAATTATATTCATACCTATTGACCAGGTATTTATAATCACATGATAATCAGCTTCTTTTAAGCTCCCCAAATTCACTCATATAATATGCGATTTGAGTTGATTTTTTCAATGAATCCTTATTCTTCCAGTATTACCAAAAATCCATCCTTGGCTAATTGGTATTGCTTTAACTTCCCAAGCATGTTAAATAAGGATCAACCATCTCTTCTATAAGAGAAAGTAAATACTGCACACAAGAGGTACCTCTGTTGCTACATGTTGCCTTTAAACACTACAGACGCAGGGCTCTCAAATGTAATCATTATTGAGCTGCCTGGAATATCATACCCACTTCGTAGAAACATCAATACTTTTCCAGGTTTCATTTCGAAGAGCTTATCAAAAACTTCTGTTTTAAGAATGTATGACTTGTTTCTGCTTCCCCACCAATAGTCATTTTTAGAATATGCTGTGTTTAAAAAAAAAAAAAAGCTTTTTGAAGCTTGATGATTATAAAAGTTGAATATTTACGATGACTTTGAACAACCTGTATGTTTCATGAGTGTACAGTTAACTAAAGATCAAAAGATGAAACGTATTCGTCCTAGTAACTTAAGTAATAATGATACCTAAAAGCAAAACTGTCTCAACATTTACTAGAATACAGGTGAAACTATAGTATTAAAAGTTACTCCTTACAAAATAATCTCTTTAAAATAGAAAATGATAAACACCATCACAAAATAGTTGAATAGCTTCTTCCAAATCTTCAATGTTGCAAAGATCCAAAAGGCACATGAAGCTCATGAGTTAAGCACTGTTAAGCTTGAAGTAGCTTTGGTGGGTTTCTCTGGGTCCATATGAAATAGAAGCCAATAACGAGAAGTTTCTTAGGGGGATTCATCTGTTGAACACCTATAAAATTAGGAAACACTTAAATGATGTATAAGTATGCATGTGTCTATCTTATATCTGTATGAACTCTCCAGTGAAGGAAGTGATTCAGCAGACAAAACTGTATTGGGTCTCATCATACAGATGCTAAAATATAAGGAAGTTAAAAAAAATCCCTTCTGTGTCCGATTTTACAACTTCCAATTGATCTGTTTGCAAATTGGAAAAGAGAAGGGAGGTTGTCATTAAAAATTAAGGGATTTTAATTAGCCTCCAATTAAAATAAATAAATTAATTTAAGAAAAACTAAGGGATTTTAAGAGGGGTTTTAGTTGATGAATATAAATAGGCTTTATCAGCTAAAAAGATCTAGGAGAGTATGTTTTACAGCTGTATAGTTTGTTCCAACTTGATCCCAGCAGCATCACAAATACAAAGAAATATAAAGATACACTGAGAAGCCATATAATGGGATTAAGGCTAAGATTAGTATTGCTTTACAACCTGCTTGAGCTAAGAAGTTGTGTTTGTATATGCATTTTAAAAGGGAATTTAACAATTAAATGTAAGAACTTTACTGAGTGTGAACAAAGTTAAAGCAACAGTTCAAGAGACAGTATAGAAACTGAAATCAACCATAAGAACTTTTCAGAATCTTCATTTGAGTTTCTCTACCTAAAATCCTTTCCTTAACTTTTCCTATGGGGGTTAAACTTAATGAACTATAGCACTGAAACTGTGAATAGCACTGTGATAAGAATAGCAGCAAGAATGAAAGCATTCCTAAATGGTATTTACAAGGGTCCAAATAAGAATATGCCCCCTCACCTTTTGTTTATACTCCTACTTAAAAAAAAAAAAAGGAGAAAAACAACCAGGCCATTTCATTCAGTGGAAAACTACCTTGTAATGTGTGCAGATAATTTCAAAAGCTAATATTTCAGATGGGCAGCAAACAAAACAGTTTTCAATTATATGACTATTAAGAATTGACTTTGTTAGGAATAACCAAAATAAGTAGGTAATCATATTATCACATCATAAATGAACATCCAACAGAAAATGTCAAAATCGTTTTTTAAAAATGACATTTCAAGCTTACTTTTGAAATTTTTCAATTAATTTCTTCACCATTTTATCTGTAATGCCAGGACAGGCAGCTTCGGCCACGGCAATACTTTTCTCCAGTTCTTCGATTGCCTGATTCCTGCTTGCATTATTCTCATCCTGCTGTTTAAGCTGAGAAAGGTCAATAGCTATAACATTTAAAATTACTAAACTTCTTAAAATAGATAGCCAAAGCTGATGAATCTGTACTTACTTCAGCAAATGCAGGTGTGATTATCATAGACAAACAGCTCAGGGTTTGTACAAGATCTTGCTCCTTTGAACAAATATTATAGATTATATACATGAAATTAAAATAATCACTCATGTGCATTCATTGGAGTCCTCCCCAAAAAAGACCCAATACAAGGCAAGTCTCCATACTTTCTTCTCATCACTCATTCCCATCCATTGTCCAGAGGCCTCTAACTTCTAGGATTACAATTGATATGCACAATTCTATTTTAAAACATACCAATGGTCACTTAAATGACTTCTATGACCTTTTCTTAATTAGTTTGAAACGAATGGCAAATGAAACATACTGTGGACCACAGTGAGGTAGGCAAGCATTTAGGGGTATTAAATTCTAACAATTTCTGGCCATCACACTGTCGCATTTTAAAGTTCGAACAAGTCTCCCAAAAGGACGTGATCATCTCAGTATACATACGGCCCCATTCTGCAGTTTCTTAGGATCAGGCTTCTTTCGCACAGTGGTAAAGCTCCATTCAGGATGAGTATTATTTTCCCTGCTGCTGGACTCCCTACAGAGATTGCCAAAGATATTTCTATAAGTTCCCAAATGATACAGCTTGGGGAAAATACCAAATCAGTGCAGACAGGTTCTGAATGGATAATTGTCCCAATGTATAAAAAATCATTTGATCTCAGTCTCAAATACACACTGCTTTCTGCCAAAGAGCAGCAATGGTACCCAGCTCTAAGTGTATATCAGAATCACACGTG